TACTCACCTTTGGACCCTGACCCCACCTGCAGCACCTGGTGGAGTCCCAAAGCTTGTGTGGAAGTGCCTAGACCTGGGTGTGGATTGGGGGTCTAGGTGTGCAGTGCCTGGCTGTGCAGCCTCCAGGATCAGGCCCCTCCAGACTCAGCCTCTTATTCCATCAAAGCTGTCCAATGACAGGTTACTACCTGCACACCTGTACATAGCCACCCTGCCAAGGACCCCTGTGGCCCTCGAGATTCCCAAATCCAGGAGGTTCCTGAGTTGCACTCTGAGAAGGGACAGGAACTTAGAGGCAGCCCTAGGACAAATGAGACGTGGTGTAGAAAGCAGATTGGAGGTTGCCAGGGGCTGGGAGAGGGAGAAAGGAGGGACTGCTTGATGGATACTGGTTTTCTTTTGGGATGATAAAAATGTTCTGGGACTAGATAGTGGTAGATAGTTGTGCAACCTTGTGAATATACAAAAAAACATTGAATTGTACACTTAAAAATGGTTAAGATAACTTTTATGTATATTAACCACGATTAAAAAAAAGTCCCATCCTCTCCAGCTTCAGCACCATCCCGCGGCACTCATGTATTCCAGAGCCCACATCAAGGGCCACTCGTGTCCCCACAAGGGTCTGGACTTTGGATCCCCTCACTCTCAACCCCCTCTTTACTCCATCATTTCTTGGTGTCATACTGAGCTATCCAACTGAGGACATTTTCCTGCAGGACGGACACGTTCTGAGGATATCTGCATTTGGGCCCAGTTTTTTTACTCAAATAAATGCATTGCTAATGGTTGAATTTCCTGTGGCAGGGGCCCATCTGTGGGGGAGATATCCAGAGATGTGGGGGTGGTTTCTGGAGTCTTCAAAAATTACCTCACCACAAGGCAGCTTCGGCTTGGTCATTTCCGCAGGGCAAGTAGGAAGCAGCAGATAGAGGCTGAAGGTCCTGCCCTTGGGACTGACCTCTCACCCCCCCGAGATCCCATGGACTCAGCCCATCCTTTTAGTACCTCCTTAACCCAGAACAAAACGCCTGGATATCTTTATAGTACAGGCTGGAAAATCATATCTTCTGGGTAATTCAGCTATAGTCCTGGGCAGAAGAAGGCACTGGAGAACTAGGGTCCTGGGTTTGAGTTCCTTAGTAGCTGTGTGACCTTGGGCAAGTTACTCAATCTCTCTGTGCCATAGTGACCTTATCTTTAAAATGAAGGTTAAAATAGTTTTGATCTTAAAAGGTTTTTTTTTTTAGATTTTTAAAGGATTTTATTTATTTATTTGACAGAGAGAGATAGCGAGAGCAGGAACACAAGCAGGGGTAGTGGGGGAGGGAGAAGCAGGCTCCCCGCCGAGCAGGGAGCCCGATGTGGGGCTCAATCCCAGAACCCTGGGATCACGACCAGAGCCGAAGGCAGACGCTTAAGGACTGAGCCACCCAGGCGCCCCTTAAAAGGTTTTTTGTTTTTTTTTTTTAAATTTTAGATAATCATATAACGACTAACCGTTTTAACATTAACCATTTTGATGTGTACAATTCAGGGGCACTGAGTGCATTCATAATGTCGGGCAACCACCACCTCTATGGAGTTCCAAACATTTGCATCACTGCAGGGGTTGTTTTTGAGGATTAAATGTTTGTAAGGCTTTAGAACGGTGCCTGAAACAGTACGTGCCAAATAAGTGCTCAATAGATGGTAGGAATAAACAGAAATAGAACGGTGCTCATAATAGGTAACACTTGCTGGGCAGTGCTATTAATTCGTTTCCCTCCAACTGGAGGAGGAGGGAGTTAGGGTCTCACTCCACTTTGGTCTGCATTTTCCACTTTGAGCTTTCCGAACCCACCCGGCTGTGCCCCGCGCCTCCCCGCCCGGGCCCAGAGTCCCATCCTCACCGGTTGGGGGCAGGGGAGACGCTGCTGGTAACGAGGAAACCTGAGGCCTCCCCCTCAGTCTCAGGGCCTCTCCTCCGCTCCTGGGACTCTTCCTGGCCCGCTCCCTGCATCTCCCACGCCCGCTCCTGCTCCCCCAAGCTGTCACCTTCTGTGGCAAAGGAGACATGTGTGTGGGTTGGGTAGCCAAGATTCTGCCAGAACCGAAGGGAGTGAATTGGAGTGGAAGCACGCCCACATCTGGGAGGAGCTCTGGCGAGCGGACCTCCCCCGCTTATGAGCTCCCCGCCTCCCACTCTGGGCCGGCGTTTAGTTCGAGCACTCCAGGATCCGCAAACGCTTGGAAGGACCCCCACGATCTGCCAGCCAGCACCACCAGACTTGTCCACTCAAAGAATCACTTGCGGACTTGTTGAACAGGCAGATTCCTAGCCTCCTCTGAGCGGTGCCCGGGAATCTGCATTTTAACATGTGCTCTGCTGAAAGGAGTCTGAGGAGCTGGAGAGTTTGGGACAGACTGTTCGCCCCACCTTTCTAGGTGTGAACATCCCGCTCTCTGGTTACTTAATGCCAATTTAACGCCTTCCGTGCTGTAACAACAGCTAAGTGTTAGTGCTCACTACGCGCCCGGCACTGACGCCTAGGACAAGCAGGCAAGTTTCCTTGCTGAGCCCCGGGTACAGCGGAAACATCCCTGGAGCCCATCTCCCGCAATAATTCCCCTTGGTGCGCGGACCTTGGAGTCGTGGACTGTCGTTTGCTGCCACCTTGTGGCAGGAATGGCAACTTTGCGCTCCATTTCCGTTCTTGGTAACTTTAATTGAAAGAATGCGCTGACCACCTACTGTGTGCCCGGTACCCAGTAAGGTCCTGGGGTCCTGGGGGCAGATGAATAAGACAGACATGGTCCCTGCCTCACGGAGCTCACAGTCTCCCGGGACAGTCAATAACGCACAGATAAATAAAATGAATGAATAAATGATTACAGAGTGTGACACATGCTAGAAAGGAGACGAACAAGGTCTGGTTATCATAGGATGCAAAGGCCTATGTATTTGCTAAACAGAGCATTGTCACACCCTTTCCCTATCCAGGACTGTGGGCCACGCGAGGGCAGGTGTGTCTGCCTGATTCCCCTTTGGGAATGGGTGAAGTCACCCAGTGCTGGCACATAGTAGATGCTCAGTAAATGACCAGTGAATGAATACACGGAGGACAAGGTTGTCCAGCGCCAGCTTGTTAGCTCTAACAGGCCGAATAGATAGGGAGCAGGAAGGGAGGGCTTTGGAAGGGAGGCTGGGTCCCTAGGGATCTTGAGAGGGCTAGATGGGTTTGGATATGAACTAAAAGGGGATGATGGCCAAATGTCACCCTCCCAGGGAGGCCCCGGTCCATCCTGTTTTAAATTGTACCCTCACTTCGTTCACTCCTTGAACCCTTTCCCTGCTTACCTTTTCTCTTTGGTACTTTTCACTATCTCACATACTATATACTTCCTTATTTGTTTAATGTCTGGCCCCCCCATTAATGTAAGCTCCAGGAGGGCTAGGATTTTTGTGTTTTGTTCACTTAATGACTCTCCAGCACCTGGAAGGACATAACACTTAGTAGGTGCCCTGTAAACCCACGCAGAGTGAATGAATGATGCATGGGTGGGGCTTGGGGCAGAGCCAATATGGATCTAGGAGTAGCCCATGGGAGGGGCGGGGCTCAGAGACTAGGCGATCAGGGTAATCCGAGTATGAAAGTAAATCTCACTCAGAGGGGAGGGGCTGGGCGGGGCAAAGGTCCGCGTGGGGGCAGAGCTAAACTGGGGGTGGAGCCTTGGGGGGGGGTCTTCCCGGGGCTGGGCCATTTTCGAGGCTTGCGGTCTTCGGGGCGGGACCAGTATAGGGGCGGGGCCTACCTGAGGCGTGGCCAATCTGGAGAAAGGGCCGGGCTGGGGCGTAGTCAAACGGGGGATAAATAAAGGAAGGGAGGGGCTAAGACTGGGGAGTGGCTAGGGCAGGACCAGCCAAGGGCCCGGGAAATCTGGGCGGGGCCGAAGCAGGGTGGCATGGGTGGGGCCAGGCTAGGGGCGGGGCTAGGCCGGATTCTCCGCTGTCCCAGGTCCTGGAGCACTCCCGCCAGCCAGGTCTCTCTCCCGCCCTGCAGGCCCCTCCCTGGCTGGCCGGGCCCCAGGAAGCGCAAGGCAGGACGCCCAAGGCTGGGCGGCCGCGGTCGGGCCTCGCCCCAGACGCTGCGCTCCGGGCCAGGCGTCCGCTGGGGGCCCTGGCGGACTCAGCTCCGTACTGCCCCCGGGGCTACGTCCCCGGAGACTCCGAGGGCGACGGTGAGCAGGGCTGTGGGGGCCTGCGAGTGCATACGTGTGTGCGTGTATGTGCATACCGGTGTATGTGCGAGTGTGTGGACGTTTGTGCGCACCAGGGGAATTGTGTGCGTGCGTGGAGTTGGGTAGGTGTGAGCTCCAGGGAGCTGAGTGTGTGTGCGAAGTTGCATGTGTGTGCAAGGGCAGTCCCGTGTGGGAGGTGGGTCGTGCATATGTGTGCCTGTGTGTGTGTTACAGAGACAGTGCATGTGAAATTTAGTGAAGGCTGTGTGTGTATGTCAGCGTATCTTGGAGGAAAATGGGAGGGCAGGTGCAATGATACTTGGGGATCTATAGGGTCAGGAGGTCTGTGGCGAGCTGTGGGGTGCGTGGGTGGGCGATGAATTGTGGGAGTGTAAGAGTTGCAAAGGTGTGTTTCCATGTGAGTGGCAATGAGGGGTGCTGCTGCGGGCCTCAGTGTGAAGGGGTGGGGACCGAGGAAAGTTTGGGTACTGATTGCTCTTTGAGGGATGAGTGTGATCTGGAGCAGTGGGTAATGGACAGGGCAGGTGTTTGGGGCCTGGCTCAGAGTAATTTGGTGATCACATCAGTCCCCTTGCTTTGAGGGCTGCGGAAATGTGTGGGTGGAACCTGAAGGGGCTGGGCTTGCCCCTTGCTTGGGGAAGCAGTGGGCAGGGTTATATGGGGATGGTGGAAGGAGCTGCTGCCTTACCAGTCACCTGTCACCCAGGCTCTGTGCTCACTCCTACCTGGGTGGCTTCTGCTGGCGCTTCTGCGAGAACATGGTGCAGAAGTATCAGTCTCCTGTCCGAATCTACAAGTACCCATTTGAGCTGGTCATGGCGGTGAGTGACCCCTGATTCTCCAGCCCCTTGTGTGATGGTTAGAGGGACACAGGAGGTCTGCTATGCAGGAATGAGAGGAAGCCCCTCAGTCCCCCCAAATGAGAAGGAATTATTGAGGTGCTCTGCTGACCTGGTGGGTCAGGCTTCTCACTAGTGACCCCTCCACCCAGTCACCCCAGCCTTCACCACAGCCTCTGGAATCCTTGCCCACTGACCGGATCATGATGTACCTTTCTTTCTTTCTCCTCAATGAAGCAGCCTTGTTCTCTCATCTCAAGCTCCTCTAACAGAAAACAAAGATATCGTGGGCCAAGCCACTGCTGTCATTTGTGTAATGCTAATAATAATAATAGTAAATATACTAATGATGATGATGGTAGCAGCCATTCACCGAGGGTTTACAGGGCCAAGTCTTTACATACATTGTTTCATTTTTCTCATTTTACCTTCACTTAACTGAAGCTTGGAAGGGTGAAGGGTGGCCCCAAGTTCTGTGGCTGAGAAGAGGTAGAGCCAGGGCTCAGACCCATGCAGGGGGTACTCCTGAGCCATGATTTTTACCACAACACTCCCCCAGGGTCCTCCTTCTGTTTGCACACCACTTTTCCTTTCCCTCAAGGAAGCTGAGAGGGGGCCAGTGTGCAGCAAGGGCAGTCATTTTCAAGGTGGCTTCAGACTCACTCTATGTAAGTCAGGCAGCCAGTCAGTTGAGGGACTAGAATTGACTCCCAAGCTCTTGGCCTCCTGAATCAATGGTCTTTGCACCATGGGGCAGGTGCTGTAAATAGGCAGATGTACCTTTCCTTCTTGGGACCATCCCTCTGCCTCTCAGAGGTCCCATTCCTTGGGGAAAAGAGGGCAATGCTATGGGTTTGTGTTAGGAGTGAATGAGAAATGTGTAGTGCCTCTGGCCCAATGCCTGGCATACAGTCAGCACTCACGAAATGTGGTTGTCCCTGCTCTTCCACCACACAGTGTTATAAATGATTGTATTGAAAGTGCAAGAAACACTGGCATCCACCTGCGTCCTCCCCATCCCAGCCTGGCTGCTTAACTTCAGCCTTTGATTCAAGGACTTTCATATCAATTGGTACCTCTGTGGGTGTGTGTCCTGCCTGATCTTATTCTACAAAGCTACCTATGTATGTGTTTATAATCACATAATGGATTTTAAAGCATCTGGAGTCATTCATACATGTTGTGTTGTTATGTGCAGATGATTCCAGGGCAAGAGGCAGGGGGCAGGCCTGGGGTTGTATTGACCAGCTAGGTGACCTTGGGCAAGTTACTTAACCTCTCTGAGCCTCCATTCCCCATCTCTAAATGAGGAGTACGTGGTTTCCAAATCCGGGCTTTGTGCCATGGATTAAAAGAGTCGATATATGTAAAGCTCCCAATGCAAGGTCTGGCAGAGACCAAATGCTGTTACCATTATGGTTGTTGCCGTGTGTGGCTGTGTGATGAGGGTGGGACATCCTCCCTCCCGTAATGAGGGTGGGACACCAGGGGATGATGAAGAGTCAGAAGCGCTGGGTCCTTGCTGCAGCTCTGCTGTGCTCTGGCTGTGTGCGGTTGAAAAGTTACTGAATTTCTCTGAGCTTTGGTTTTCCGTTTGTGAAATGGGGATGGTTATATGCACTTCACAGAGTTGTCATGAGGATTAAAGTTTATATATATATATGTTATAAATATATATTATAATATATATTATAACGTAGGGGGAATAGGGGGGTGGGGGGCAGGTGCCCTGCAAAGAGCTTGGTCCATACCAAATAGACAATAAATGGCAGCTAAATATAAATACTTGTCTTCTGTCTAAGGCTCCAGGCAGCTCACGTATTCTAAGACCCTAGGACTCATTCATTCATTCATTTAAAATAAGAGAGACACCATTCTGACCCTTCTGGAACAATCCAGGGCCCTGTGGTTTTCTACTATGAAACTGAGACAAATAACTGTAAAATGGAAAACTAATACTGTTTTATTATTGCATGAGCTTAATAAATGTAAATTTAATTTAGCATATTTAGGATTCTCAAAAATATTCACAATTGTTGCACTTTAAAATAAAACACGCCGGCTAAAGTAGCATGTAAGTCTGTATAAATAAGACTAGGAAAGTATTCACATTGATTTTACCGGAGTATGTTAAGCATATTTTGTAAGCTTCCTGTTTCATAAACGAAGGCAGGACTCCCTTTACTCTCCTATCTATTAACAATCCCTAGGTGTTGATGCATAGAGGCTTGTGGGTACAGTAGGAAACAAAGGTTTTCAGATACTTATTATCTGCATCTGCATTAATTTATTTGTATTTCTCAAAGGGACAGCCTTGCCCACGTTTCCTTATCTTCCATACAATTCTTGTTGGTGAAAAGGCCCCAAACCTCTGCAATGTTACCGACAAAGCCACTTTGCCGACTGTTTACAAAACGTCATTGTCCCCAAAATAGCTGCATAACTCAACATAACTTGCATGCTGTGTGGGCACAAAAGGGTTTTTCTGCACTTAATGTCCGTCTTTGTTTCTCAGCTAAACACTTGCCCTCAGTTTTGGTCAGATGCCAGGGAAGTTTCAGATGGACTCAGCTATTCTCAGTGCATCCGAATGACCAGATGAGCTGGCCTTTGGTTTTTCTGTTTAACAAAACTGACTTGAGAATTGAAGCATTCCTTGCTTCAGAAGTCCACAAGGAACAAACACAAATGACTAAAACTGAACTCAAGGAATTGGTTATAAAATAGCACTGAGCCAACCTTTCTAGACCGAGCTTAAAAAATTACCTCCCCCCCAATTTTTTTTTCTTCATTTCAAAAATTTAACTAATCCAGTGAATGGGTGTCTCTCTCCTTGGGCCAAATCCCCTGATGTGAATTTTGTTTCTGAAGGGTGGGATTCCAAGGACCTTTGCTTTCTTCTTTCTTGATTGTATTCTGTATTATTTGGTTCAAAACAGTGAGGTCGTATTATCTTGGTAAACAGAGGGAAACAATTAAGACAATGGAGGTAGCTGTGTATCCAAGGTTGGAAAGGGTCTTTGGTCCCTTTGTGTGTGGGGTCCCAGAAGGTGGTGGTGGGGTCTTTGTGCAGAGAACACAAAGGCCATGTCTTGGACTTCAGACAGTGGTCCCTTGAGCATCAAAGGCCACTCTCTGGTCAGCCTGCACCCTGTTGTGAATGGATTCCGGGTTATCTGGGCTCTCCTCCCAGATGGATGGTGGTGAAGAGCCAGATCCATCCTCTGGGTCCCTGCTCCAATTTCTCAGCTGGAAAATGGAGGATAATAAAGCCTCTTGCTCTACCAAGAGTGGAAGTGTGAGGATTGAAAGAAGGGACAGGGGTGCCTGGACAGGGCCTGGCATATTGTTCATGCTGGTGAAATATTACTTAGGTTTATTGTTATTATGTATTGTTCTAACAGCTTTATTGAGTTATAACTCACACACCCGATTAAAAGGTTCAAGTCAGTGGTTTTTAGTATTCATAGAGTTGTGTACCCATCACCACCGTCAGTTTTAGAACATTTCATTGCCCCAAAAAGAAACCCTGTTCCCATTTGCAGTCCTCTCCAATCCCTACACCCTCAGCCCCTGACAACCACTAGTCTACCTTCTGTCTCTGTAGACTTAACTATTTAGGACCTTTCATGTAAGTGGAATCACAGAATATGTGGCCCTTGGTGACGGGCTTCTCTCACTCAACATCATGTTTTCAAGGTTCATCCAGGTTGTAGCATGTCAGCACTTCACTCCTTTTTATGGCTGAGTCATATTTCGTTGCCTGGATAAACCACATTTGTTTTCCACTCATCAGTGGGAGGATTTTTTCCAATGTTGGCCTATTACAAATAACACCGCTATGAACACTGAGGCCCAAGTTTTTGTGTGGACATATTCCTTCCAAAGAAATCCCTGCCATGAATGGTAGTGATTGTTTGTGGGTTTAGGCAAATTCTATCTTAAATGTTATTTAATAAACATGTTCACAGTGCTTGTGAGGTCCCAGGCACTGTTCTGAGCCCATTCAAATATTAAGTTGTGTACTTCTCCTAAGCACCCCAAGAGATAGGTTCTCTGGGTAGCACCATTCTACTAGAGGAGGAAACTGAGAAATGAGAAGGATGAATGGATTCCCCAAGGCTACAAAGCAAACATGAAGCAGGTGGGGACAATTGCAGGCAGTTCAGCTCCAGAATTTACATTCCCAATCATGAGCTCTGCCATTTCTCAGAGCTGAGGATCTCAACTCATTGGGGTGGCATCTGGGCCTAGTGAGTAGTCTGGCTGGGACGGTTACCACCAGGACTGTGTCCCAAATGCCTGCACTCCATCAGGACCCCACAAAAGGGAGGACAGCCGGAACCCACAGACCCTGGCCTTCTGGTGGGGGGCAGCCAATGCTGACAGAGCCTGGCAGAGGTTACCTACCAGATGCTCTGTATGCCCAGCTCTTGAGGCCCGCTCAGAGGCAGGAATTTTCATAGCAGCCTTGGCTGCAGTGGGAGGGAAAACTAAGGTTTACAGAGGGTACGGAGACTATCCCCTAGTCAGTACATTCATTGGCTAGGGCTGCGTAACAATGTACCACGAGTGGGTGGCTTAGAACAACAGAAATCTAGAGGCCAGCCGTCCAAGATCAAGGTGTCAGCAGGGCTGAGCCTCCTCTGAAGATACTTTGGAAGGATCTGTTCCAGGATTCTCTCCTGGCTTCTGGTAGTTCTTTAGCGTGTGGTGGCATAACTCCAACCTTCACATGGCGTGTTTCCTCTGTGTGTGTGCCTCTGGGTCCAAATTTCCTTTTTTATAAGGAAGGACACCAGTCATATTGGATTTATAAATACACTCTAGTGACCTCATTTTAACCTGATTACCTCTGTAAAGATCCTCTTTCCAAATAAGGTCACATCCAACATATCTTTTCTGGGGGGACATAATTCAGCCCATTATGCTCAGTAAATGGCATCATCAGAGATTTGAATTTAGGGAAATCTGACCCCATA